CCGGAACGCCGGGAGGAGGGCGGAGAGCCCAGCCGCGGCCCCGCTCTCCCCGGGCGGCTGGAGCGCTGCGGAGAGGGCGGCGAGCCCGGCCACGGCCCCGCTCTCCCCAACTGGCCGGAGCGCCGGGGAGGGCGGCGAGCCCAGCCGCGGCCCCGCTCTTCCCGGCCGGCCGGAGCGCCGGAGGAGGGCGGCGAGCCCGGATGCAGCCCCGCTGTCCCCGGGTGAGCACCACCCCCCTCCTGGTGCCGCCCCAAGCACATGCTTGGAGGGCTGGTGCCTGGAGCCGGCCCTGGTTGCTTGGTTACCACAGCAACCCCTTGCTGGATTCGGTCCCCTTATCTTCTCTTGTTACAGAAAGGCAAGGCTTTCACTTTGTGTGGTGGGGGGACAGCCTTGTGCTTTCACTTACATTCTCTTGCTTGCTTATTCAGCCTGTTTAAATTAAAAGCAAGGCCAGAAGCAAGATTATTATTGTTTGGTCTTTACCCTTTTTGTTTCACATTCTCTTAACACCAGGTACAGACATAAGTCACTGCCTAGCAACATAGGTTGCTGGCTAGTAAACACTTTCATATCTTCACTGCAGTGCTTCCGATTTGCTGCAGCTCACATCAGTTATGAAGCAAAAAATATTTTTCTCTGAAATTCCAAAATGGAAAACTATAAAGTGGTGTTTGTGTAAACTATAGCAATACACATAAAGTGCCTCCATCTGTACCCTTGCAAAAGACTATTTTAAGAAGTGAGATACCAGGGATCCAATAACAAAACATTTCTGTATCTGAAATATTTTTAAGTACATTACTCTCCTACAAATTCCAAATGGACAGCAAATGAAAAGCCCGCCTACACGCCTATTTTGTATGTTCCAGGTTTTTCCTGTAGCAAACCATTTTGCAACTATTCCCACTCTTTTCCCATATAGCAAAATTCTCTGAGGCAACCTTAAGTATGCCTTTGTTACCACTCCACCATAATACTACAAATTAGAGGATGTCAGGAGAGAGGGCAGTGATTGAAGACTGAAAGGAATGAGTTTTGAGGAGTGATTTGAGGTAGGAGCACATGTGGTCAAGGAGGTTATTCCAGGTATCGAGGACACAGTGAGAAAAGTTGCAATGTTGGTTATGGAAGAAGGTCAGGAGAGTACTGAGATAAGCTGAAGTGGCTGAAAGCAGGAGTAGGAAGCAACTATAGATGAGATGGAGACAGGGCAGAGCTGTGGAGGGCCTTGAAGATGAGGTGAGGTGTTTGAATCTGACACAAGCAGAAAACAAAAGCCAATGAAGACACTTAAGCGGGAGATTGGGGATGGAATGGCAGCAGTAAGCTGGATGGACTTGAGGGGCACAATATGAAACCTGAGGAGACCAGATGGGGAGCTGGAGCCGTAGTCAAGATTAGAGAAAGATGGCTAAGGCATGGCCTGAGGAATTGGCAGTAGGGATGGAGAGAGGGAGGAAAGGATAGGCAGAGCTCAGGGATCAAATGGATAGAGGTGGGATTGAATGGCTGGTAAGGGTGAAAGTCTTAACGGAAGAGACAACACATGAAGTGATTAGAGTGGATGAGCACAGGCAAGGGTAGGGTGCAGAGATAGAATATAAGAAGACCATTGAGGAAGGAAGTGGACTGAGGGGGAGAAGGTGAAGAAGGACACACTAAGGGAGAGGCTGCCAGAGCAACCACAGAAACAGGAAGGGAAACAGTCCAGCACTGAACTAGTTAGTGTGTGTTAATGGCCTACAAGTGCCTCCAGGGGGCAAGCGACAATGAGGAAAAGAACTTACCAGGAGGGGTTTAGGGGGAAGAATTAGATATAAAAAAGACCAAGTAGGAGAAAAAAATAATTGGTCTGCAGGTTGTGAATCATTTCCTTCACCATGAAGGCCTCTACTAGTCTCCATTGCTCGAGATATGTGTGAAATGAAGATGGACAGGGTGGATTTACACTGTTTTGGCCCTGGGGACTGAACTGGGTGTCACCTAACAAGTCCTTTCCATTTTTATTTTCTGTGTTTCATTCATCTCTTCTCTCACAGAGCAAGTCTGGACGTGCTGCCCCAGGGGCTGGGAGCTCTTTCAGGCCAGCTGCTACTACTTCTCTAATGACATCATGACCTGGGATGACAGTGAGAGGAACTGCACAGGGATGGGCTCCCACCTGGGGGTGATCAACACAGGAGCTGAGCAGGTAACTTGCTGGGAGTCAGGCTCCTCTGGGCACTCAGAGTGCAGCCCTGGAGAGGATGTTTGGGCTCTTTGTTCATTCAATCCTGGGCTTCCTCATCCATCACATCCAGCACCCCCACACCCCCACAGGGACCCTGATCTCCTACTGTCTGCCCAGAGACTGCACCTGATGGAGATATGATTTTATTTTTATCCAGGATTTCATCTTCACTCGGGTAAATGGAACAGTTACAGGCAGCGAAGGAAGGAATTACTGTATTGGTCTGATTGATAAGGAGAAGAAAGGACAGTGGTGCTGGGTGGATGAGACTCCATATAACAATACTGCAACGTGAGTATTTCCTGGAATGGAGACCAGTTACCACCCTCCACTTAGTTCCAGGATTAGTATACAATGGTGTGTGTGTGTGTGTGTGTGTGTGTGTGTGTGTGTGTGTGTGTGTTGTTGTGGTGGGGAGAGAGAGAG